CCTGCCATGGGAGCCGGATGCCATCTGTCCTGTGAAGCCTGAGACCTGCAGCTGCCCAGCCCATCATGGAGCTTCACATCCTCCTTTGTTTCAGCAACATCATCTACCTGAGCTCACTGGTCATCTTCATCTTCTTCCTGTAAGTCTCCCCACAGCCATGGGCTGAGCCCCATCCCAGGAACGTGGGGCAGCAGCGCTGCTGTTCCACACCAGTGCTCTGGGGATGTTGCAGCCAGGCATCAGCTCTAACAGCCTGGATCTGCGTCCTCTTCCCCACCACCCCACTTCAGCAGCCCCGGGGACTGAGGATCCCAAGGCTCTCTGCCTGCTCTCCACCTCAGTCTTCTTCCTGGTGCTCGCCAGCCTGGTCCTGCTCAGCGCAGACAACGTGGAGCTCCTCCAGCTAGGTGGGGTGAGAGGGGGGCAGGGGCTGCTCCATGGCGGGTAGGGGACACTGTCCCCTCACTTCTCCTGCAGCAATGGCCCGAGAGAAGAGGCTGAAGCTCTGCAGCACAGTGAGAGGGCGCTGCCCAGCTGGGTGCCACCATCACACTCAGCCTCTCTTCCTCTGCTACCCTGACTGCAACTGCTCCATAGAGGTGAGGGATGCAGGGCACCCTGGGAACCTGGGGCTTTTGTGCATGTCCACACACACCCAGCCCACCCCATCCCACCACCCCATTAACTAAGCCCTGTTCCCCTGTCCCCACACACTGTATACTCCCCCATCCTGCCCCATACACTGTGCCCCCACACCCAACCTGGCACACTGCACCCCGTAAGCTCTAGCTTGCATGCTCAGCCCTGTATGCTGCACCCCATATACATCCATCCCTACACATTACCCCTTGCACACCCAGCCCTCCTCCCTGCAGCCCCACACACCATCCCCTGCCCCCAGCCCTGCCCAGCACACGCAGCTCTCCATGTTGCACCCCATGCCCCTGCCCATGCATCCCACATGCTGCACACCCAGCCCAGGGCACCCCCCTTGCACGAGCACACCCCCCACACACAGCACTGTACAGAGGGTGTCCACAGCCCTGAGTGCTCCCAGTCCCATGGGGAGCTATGGGGCTCCCTGCACCCAGCACCCCTGTGCTGCACCAGTTTCACTAGCACTGCTTACAGCTGAAGGAACACGTCAGCTCCTACATCTGCTGCGCCTGCTTCTTCAAGATGGTCACTGCAGGCTATGTCACGATGGTCCTGCTGTCCTGCCTCATCTACCCAGTGCTTGTCCCCAAGTGGTCCATCATCACAGCGATGATCTGCATGTATCCTTGGCCCAGGGAGACAGAGCCCTGCCCTGGAACCCACATGCACATGCTGCAGCACCTAGGCTATCATGTGCAGGAGCCTATTCCCTTGCCTGCACGTAGCCCCAGGGCCAGCACCACCCATGGGTGACCACTGAATGGAGGCACATAGTTGTCTCCCTGCCCAGCACACGTGTGACTGTTTGTCCCTGACAAAATGCTCCAGCATCATGATGACCCTCCTTGCCACTGTCTACTTTAGCCTGATTGAACCCTGTGTCCTCCAAGCACAGAAAATCACAAGGTGCCAGGTACAGCTGCGGGGCCTGGAGCATCCTGCCAGCCCAGGAGGGGGATGCAGGACATGGCTGGACCTCAAGCCCAGAGCAGTGGGGCAGCCCCACATGTCAATGCCCTGTGTGAGCTGGTCCAACCATGCACACACATGCGTGCACAGGGGGCTCCATCACTGCACACATTCCACCCCCTCCATCCCTTCTTGCTGATGAATGAAAAATTGACACCCAGCACCACTGACTCACCCCCACCTTCACCAAGCCCCCAGCCCCATCACTGTGCCCAAGCCCACCCTGTTCCGCCCTGCATGGGACCAGGATGCACCCATCACACCACCCTGCTGTGAACAGTGTGCTGCAGGGCTGGGAGTCACCACCCCAGAGCTGTCCACAGGGACATGGAGGACTCTAATTTCTGCAGCCCATGGCCCTGAGCCCTCCCTGTGCCAGCAGAAGAGGACATGCCTGCAACTTGCTTCCTCTGACTTGCCCAGGGAGCTGGCAGAGATGGATGCAGAGAGGGGAAAAGGAGTGAGATGGGGTAGCACAGGGCCCCCCCATCTTCTCCCCTTATTCCAGCCCCTGACAATGTTTGAGATGCATGGTCCAGGGGCCACCAGTTTCCATGGGCACCCTTCTCCACACAGGCTGCTACCATGGCTGACAGCTGGAAAGACAGGAAGGAGCCAAAAGCAGGTGAGCATCCCCTGGCATGGGCTGGATGGCACAGGGAGGCACACAAGCCCCACCAGATCAATATCAGTTCCTGACTCCC